GGGAATGCAAACGCGGACACTGTGCCCGCCCCACACACACTCTGCAACTGGACAATATTCTAGTATTGCATTTTAACTCTACATTCCTGGAAAAGAAAATCAAAACCCAAACAAAACAAGTGAAAAACCTGTACACACAAAATAAGCTTTCTCTGTCCTCATAGGCCGCCAGTGTCTGCATCATTGCGCACGGGAGGAGCCCCAGATCGCATCGGCTGCCTCTGCGCAGCGGTGCACGTGAAGCCAGCAGCAAAGCCCTGAAGTGACTCAATTCACCGACCCATGGCTCTGGTTCTGGTCAGGCAGAGGGAAGCCCCTCAAAACGGCGGGGTGTCCAGGGGTCAGGGCTGGGTCTCCAGCCCCGTGAGGACGTCCCGGCACTGGCCCGGACCCTCCACCTACAAGGCACCGCTGTTTGGTTTGCAGGGTGCTGAAGGCTAACTCCGCGCCTCACGCCAGGCTTGCTGGCCCTGGAGGCAGCGGCGGGGCCAGCGGATGACAGAGAGAAGCCAGGGAAGCTGGGAACCAGGATCCAGAGGGGCTTCCATCACCTGCGATGCCACATCCTGCCACAGGCGCCTCACGGGGCTCAGGGTGGCCGGCAGGTCCCGGCCGCCTGTCCCTTAGACCTGTTTACAAACATGTCCGGGGTATCTGAGTCCTGCCCCAGCCGCACTGACTTCTCTTCTGCTTCCTCCCACCCCAGTGTTCCTCCCTCGCCTGTTGCATAAACACACACGAACAGTGGCCACTTTCCACCCACTGAGGACACGTGACACGCACACGCCAACTTCTGATCTGGGTTTCGTGACTGTTTCTGTGTCCCATCTCTACTCCCTCGCCAGGTGCTGGGATTGTCCCTTGGTGGGGGGCCCTGTGCTCCCCACTCCTCTCCGCTCCCCCACTCCAGGTCACCGCTTTCTAAGCCAGCAGCTGAGCCCCAGGGTGGGTGCTGAGGTGCCCAATTCTCTCAGGGAATGTGAAATTAGACAAAATATACATTAACTAAACCAGCACCACCCAGACTCACCCCAGCCCGCCTCTTTCATCAAGGTGGCCCCTGCGTGGCCCCCCACATTTCCCTGGAGCTCACTGGGGTCTGGAGGACTCAGGGGTCCACCTCGTAATTCAGGTCTTCATCCTGCATGAGGCTTTCCCAGCCCAGCCTGGGCCCCAACCTCTGTTTGTGTCATGGTGTTTGTGAGCCTGGGGTGAGGGTTCCACCTCAGGGCAAGCCAGAGGTCATCTGCAGGGGAAGGGCCAACCCAGACTCAACCCTGACCCAGGACCCTTCCCGGCCATCTTGGGGGATGCTCCAGCCATCTTCTCACAAGGACAGGCAGCACCCCGTCTATGGCCCCATCCACCCAGGATTCGGGAAACGGCTTGGCCCACATCACTCTCAGTGAAGGCTTTGACCACTCAGCTCCAACAGAGCAATAAACAGTCGAATCTGCTCTTCACCAGGGAGGGACAGGCATCTAGAGTGGGTAGACCTGCCCCCAGCTGCTCAGGAGGGACCTGGAGCCCGCGGTCTGGTGCCTGTCTCATGGGGTTGCAGCAATGTCAGGCCTGCACCAGGGACCCCCCACCCTGACCCAAAGCCTTCGCCTGACCAGGGTCCGCCCACCTGCACTCTCTCAGCCCCTAGGACTCACCCCTCCCCTTCACACCCACCCTGAGCAGAACTTCCTCTGCGACCCGCCCCAGCTGCCCGCCTCTGAAGGATGAAGAGGGGCTGTCTGTCCACGGGGACAGGAGGCCAGGCCATGGCTGACGCTGCTTCCAGCTGCCCAAAGCCTGAGCTCCTATGGTCCTGGCTGAGCATCGAGGGACCTTGCAAGTGGAGATGAAATGGACGACGCTCACCACAGCACAGATAGGTGTCTGCACAGCTGTCTCGACCTCCACCCCAACCTGACCCCCAAAACAGCACTGCCTAGTGCCATACGCTAAACCAAAATGCTTGTGTGTGGCTGGCCCCATATTACGGAAACAGAATGAACACAGGACCCGTAAACTGTGCCCAGAGGAGCGTGTGGGGCTGGCGCTTGGGGTCTGTGCTCGAGGCTCCAGGGCCAGCCTTGGGCCTGATAAGACGTAAGTGGACCGGGGCAGTGGGAGGCTGGTGCCAGGCTCCAAGGCCATCTCTGCTTTGGCAACACAGAAACCCCTGGGGCTTCTGAACAGGATGTGGCCCACGAGATCCGACTTCTGGGAAGATCACTGCGCCCCAGAGTGCAATGAATGGGGAGAGGGGCCTGCCGGGACGTGAGCTCACCCAGGGGAAGGGCTGTCGTCCGTGTCCCGAGGGCAGGGGCACCAGGACTCGGGGAGATAAACTTTCTTAAACGGGGTGAACAAGCGCTTTACAGCGGGTACGTCAGGGGCTCCAGGGTCCCACAGGTGGTCAGGAGAGGCGCCAACGGGGCGTGTCCTCGGGCACCTTCAGAGGACCTGCAGGCCAGGCCCAGGCCCACAGCAGATGCACCCCAGCCTCAGCCTTCCATGTGTCCAGGGGCCATCCGTGCACCCCACTCGCCTCTCCCGGGTCCCGTTCCCTCCATGTCCACGCACAGCTGGGCCACCAGGGCACGGCCACACCCACACTCATGCAGCAGTCTGTGTGCTCGGACAGCCCAGCCCCCGTGGCCCCCAAGGCCGGCCTGGCTCACTTAGCTTTGACCTCTAGGACCAAGGCCTGAGAGGCCCGGGCCACTTGGTGAGGCTTTGGCAGAAATGGGTGGGGTGGGATGCCAGCCTCACCCGCTGTGTTGACATGGAATATGCCCTCGTCCCCAGCAACCCCCTCAGTCTTGCCTGCCCTGAGCTCCACCCTCGCCACAAAGCCACACGTGGACCCCCGGGCAGCAGAAACACCAGTGAGACCTACTTCCCACCTGGGCCTGCAGGGTGCTGCCCAGACATGGGAGCCCAGGGCTGCCACAGCTGGGACAAGACGTGGCGGGCGGGAAGAGACCACGTGAGACAAGGCAGGGGTGAGGGATAGGAGGCGTGGCCGTCAGTGCCCCCCTCAGCCGGCGTCCACCCACACAGTGTCCACCTCGCACAGAGGCTGGGGGGGAAGGCAGAATCTGTCTGTGCTCAGCAGGGAGCAGTGCAGGGACATGGCCCCATGCAGAGCTCCAGTGGCCTTGTGAGTGGACGAGGAGGGCAGCGGGCAGATCAGACAGCAAGAGCTTCAGGACACATCTGCACAGGACACAGATGTGGTCCCGGCCCTGACTCACGGTCATCACAAACCTCCAGAGAGTGGCCGGGGCAGCCATGGGCCACCAGTATGGTTTTGAGGGATAGCCCCGGGGAGGCGGCAGCCTCCTGAGCCGATAGGTACACTCCTGCAAGCCCAAAAACAGACGGCGGGGGCTGCAGGCTCCACGGGACACACTCCCACAAGCTCACACACAGACAAAGTCCAGGCCCCATGAAATATACAACCTCAAATTCACACACACAACAGGGCTCCAGGCTCAAGAGTTGAAAATTTGGGGGGGTGGTGCTGATGTATCTGCATGCATCCTCCTTAAAAAGCTTGGAGCCTTCAGTCAGAAACCAGCAGGAAAGCGTTTGGCAAGGCCTCACTCCCTGCCCAGCAGATGGGAAACCCAGCTCCAGACGCCCCGGAATCCTGCCCCAGAGGTCAGGAGAGGCTGATGCCGCCCCCTCCCTGGAAGGCCGAGGCTCGCCTGGTCCTCAGGCCTCGGGGCAGGAAGTGAGCAAGGCTCCGGTGTGTCTGCTGGATCCCTGGCCTGGGAAACGTCTGATACTCGGGAGGACTCACTGTGCCCCCGGCGGGAACGAAGCCCAATCCCCACACAAACCACGCAGGCAGGGATGGAAAAGACAGGCCGAGTCGCACTTGAACGTGTGGTCACCAGGGCTGCGGGCACCTCCCTGACCACAGCGTGACCGCATGCAAGCTGGGCTGGGCCGTCAAACAGAAACGCTTGCCAAGAACGCAGCGGTGTTCGGTCAGCACTGCTCACAGGAAGGACTGCGTGCTTGCCGGAGTTCCCGTGCCACACGCCTGGCCACAGACGTGAGGCCACTTCCTTCCCACGCAGCCCCAGGTGCGCGATGTTCAGTGCACCTCCATGCTGTGGGAGCCTGGACAAGGGAGGCCCCGCGCCCAAGGCCTGAAGGCGCCGTCCCAGGCCCCCAGCATCACGGCCATCCTCCAAGGTCCTGCCAGGCGGCCACGGCCATTAGACGTGTGCACAGAGCCACACAGTGCAATGCGCACACCACCCCGGCTAAGCTGTCATCTACAAGCCATCCATGGGACTCAGTGGCACCTGCAATGCCCCAACTGCAGAGGCCGGCGCCTCCTCTAGCCAGGGCTTTGAGCCTGAGCCTGAGCCAAGCCGCTCGGCAGTCAGATGCAGTCGCAAACCTGGGCACGCAGCATGAGCCTCAGACCCCGGGTCAGGCTTCGCAGGGGGTCTGCAGCCAAGGGACCCACCAGAGCCCCACGCCACCATCACCAGAGCAGGGTCTCGTGGCAGGCACCCTGGTGCCGCGCCAGCACATGGGCACTGCATGTCAGGAGGACACACCCACGCCTCACCCGGCGCTGGGATGCACGTCCCTGCGCCACACACACACATCTCCTCCATGAGCTCGCAACACGGCGCCGGGCTGGGCACACATCGGCGTGGCCGCGGGCACTCACCGTCGTCCAGGTACAACTGGTCCAATTCTTCCGGCTCTCGCTTGACCGTTACAGGAATAGGGGCCAAGTTAGGACTACCGTCCTCACGGGCCTCTGGCAGCGGCCGGGGCCGGGCGGTCGGAGACTCGTCCCTGCGGACCGTGGGCAGCGGGTGCTGTAGGCGGCCCGTGGCAGGTGGGCACGCTGGGCTGCAGGGCTGCAGGCAGGTCGGCTCTTGGGTGGCGGGCGGGAGTGGAGGAGAGGGACTGCTGGGGCAGAGTGAGTGTTCCAGCCCAGGGGGGTGGCTACCGCTCGGAGGCGCACTCACCTGCTGTGGAAGCAGGGCCAGGGGCGGCTGTCCGGGAGAGCTGGGGTGCGTGGCCGCTGGCCTGGGCACGTCCTGGACGGCGGGGGTGACGGTGGGGGCCTCTCCGGCCAGCGGTGGGAGCCCCAGGTGACAATGGCCTGAGCTGGCGATGGCCTTGGAGTAGGCAGTGGGAGAAAGGTCGTGGAGCTTGGGGCTCATGCCGGGGGCTACTGGCATCAAGGCGCCTCTCTGCGGACAGGCCGGGACGCCAGCCACGAGGCAGGAGCTGGGGTCAGGCGGCATGGCCAGCTGCTGGCTGAAGTACGGTCTCGGGAGCGGACTTAACCCCTGGCTCACCGGTCCACAGGTTGGAGCAGTCTCAAAATCATCAGTGGGTTCTGTTTTTATAATTGGAACTGTGAGAAGGGGGAGAAAAGTTAGATCAACACGAGTTGCAGATGGGTATGATCAGACAGGCTGGTGGGGGGACACCCTCCGCAGAGCCAGCAGCTCTGACTGGTCCCTCTGTCTCCTGCCTGGTTCTCCCACCCCATTAAAAAAAGGCATGAGTCATCGGCCCAGAGAGTGGCAGCTGGTTCTAATACCGGCGAGGACTGTTTTCCTTGGCCTCTCCACTGGCTCTAACGCGCTATAAAAGTCCACTTGCAAACGGCAGTGGAAGTCCCGGGCCCAGGGGCCTGTGGATTTGTAGGAATCAAAGCGAACATTTGAACTTGGACACACGACGGCACGTCTGCTCCCGACGCTCGGTGTGGTAAATGTCTGCACGTTTGGTAAACTCGAACACGCAACAAGACAGCTTTCAGGAGTCCGTAAAACTCCAACTGTAAATGGGAACGACCACTGGGGGCGAGAAGCATCAGTCACTGAGACAGAAAGACGCCCTCGCTGAGGATGCAACGCCTCCACAGTCCCTCCCAGTCCCTCTGAAAGGGGTGGGCTGTGTGCAGGCGGTGACCCAACAGCCTAGGACGGAACGCGGGGCTCCCGAGTTTCTGGAGACTTCTCCCGCCCAGCCCTCCCGAGAAGGCGGGGGCTGCGGGGAGGAGCCTGCAGGGCAGGCACTGGGTCCCCAAGGCTGCTCCACCAGGCCTGGCCCAGAGCCAACGCCGGCTCCCGCCTTGCACCCGTGCCTTGCATCCACCCCGGGCCTCTGCACCGGCTTCTGCAGGGTGTCGGGAAGGCGGTGGGCAGGGCATGCAGTCAGCGGAGAGGCAAGGCGGATCCCAGCCAGCATTCCTGCGGCTGCTGTTTTCCTGTTGGTCTCAGGCCTCTCGTGCTACTTAGAAGAGACACAGACGGCTCCGTTGCTCTGAGGCCCTCGCCATGGCGCATGTAAATTCCCAACAGATGTGAGCTGCCGCTCTGAGCGAACGCAGCGCGGACGGTGAGCTAACATCAGGTCTCCTCGTTCCGTTTTCTCTTCCCCGTGAGCTGCACACCAGTGGGTTCTGGCAGTGGGGTTGGCCACAGGGAGAGAAACTCCCCTTCCATCACCACCTGGGGTCTTTGCGTGGCCCCCAAAACCTGCACACAGGCTCCCTGCGCAAACACTCACTGCCGCTGAGGGCCCAGGCAGCCTCCTGCAGTCAGTAAAAGCATTTCCGCAACTCGAGAGAAAATCTTTAGCCCTGGGCTTCAGCCCGCAAATCCACGCAGCCGTTCCCCACCATAGCCAGGGTGCCGAGGGTCCGCCAGCAGCTGCGAACCACAGAGACACGTTTTCCCACAGCGCATGGCGCGAGAGCCCCTGCGCTACCTGCAGCTCCCCTGTGGCGCCCACCACAGAGAGCTGGGAAGAGCTGGCCACGCCTCCTCCCCGCCACACTGGGCCATCACAGGGAGTAGCCCGTAGGGGCCGTTCCCAGCTGTAGCATCTCACCAGCCTCCGAGTCTGAGGAGGTCAGCCACTTTCAACCCTGGGATTCCGCAGAGTTGCTGCATTTTGTTGCTTTTGTGCTCTGACTTTTCAATTCCCTCCTTTTATTCAATCATTCAAATCTTTACTTCATCCACTCTGCACGCTGAGTAGGGGGGCTGATGTTTAAAGCGTATGCTGCAAGCTGAGTAGGTCAAGGTAAAATGTGGCACGTATCCACCACGGAATACTATGTAGCCATAAAAAGGGATAAGTTCACGTCCTTTGCAGGAACATGGATGAAGCTGGAAACCATCATTCTCAGCAAAGTGACACAAGAACAGAACACCAAACACTGCATGTTCTCACTCATAAGTGGGTGTTGAACAATGAGAACACATGGACACAAGGAGGGGAGCATCACGCACTGGGGCCTGTTGGGGGATGGGGGTGCTAGGGGAGGAACAGCAGGGGTTGGGGGGATTTCGGGGAATACCTAATGTAGATGACAGGGCATGGAGACAGCAAACCACCATGGCCCGTGTATAGCTACGTAACAATCCTGCACAATCTGCACATGTGCCCCAGAACTTAGAGTATAATAGAAATAAAAAAATTAAAAAATAATAAAGAATCTGCCCTGCACACTGAGTAGGGAGGCTGAGGTTTAAAGCATCCGCCCTGCACTCTGAGTACAGAGGCCGAGGTTTCAGAAGGGTGCTGACGTCGGCCACCATGATTCTACAGCCTTCCCGGGACGCGGCCTGCAGCTCCCTGACTGGGGCCCATCCATCTAGCCAGGCTCTGCTGAGGGTCGTGCCAGCCTTACCCGGGGCTCGCAGACCTGGCGTCACCAGCCTTTGGCCTGGGGCAGGTCCGGCCACAGCTACCGCGGCGAGTGTGGCCCGAGCCGTCAGGCACAGAAGCCGAGGTCGGGGCTGCGTCTATAGTGGCACCCAGGGCGGGGGCGGGATGGGTGCTTCCCCAGCCTTGTCCACTCTGCAAGTACCACTGGGGTCACGCTGGAATCACACCCCAGGAAGCAATGGCCACGTTTGGGGTGACATCACAATTCCGTTGTCCCAGCGGTGAGGCCTCGCGGGTCCCATCTGAAGCCGCCGCTGCTCCGGTGTGAACTTTGGGAGGAGCTGGAGACTGCGCCAGCGCCTGGCACCCGCCCTGGAGTGCCGGGTCGGTTCCTGCAGAGAGGTCTCTGCTTCCAGCCACCTGGGTGTGGACTCCCGGGGCCACATCTTCAGCAGAGGGTTCACAGATGGGGCGGAGCCCAGGACTGCCTGCACAAGTGGGGGCTGCTGAGGGGAGGGTGCCCTCACATTGACCGGGTAACCCCACCCCCTCGCTTCTCGTTAGGACGTCGAATATCTGAGCCATGGGCAGCAACACCTTTTTTAAGGGGTGGGGGAGTCAGTGCCTGGGGAGAGGGCTCTGACCACCGTCTGGAGACCCCAGGGCTGGGGACATTTTCATCCAGGGGGACATGTGTGTCGGCTTCAGGCCGTGCCCCCATTGGCTCTGTGCAGGCAGCTGGGCCTTGGGAACCGTCCCTCCCCTCCGGTTCCAGCTTCAAGCCTGAGGAGCCCACAACAAAGCCGGATGGCGTGGAGACCCGGGGCAGGGCGTGGCCAGCGTTCCCCTTGAACTTCAGGCCTGCGCCTTCCAGAGGCGCTGGGGTCGCCTGAAACAGGCCCAGACGTGGGAAGGCGACACTAGTGGGCACCCACGTCTCTCCTGCTCAGAAGAGGCTGCCATCCTGAATAGCCCAGCCTCCACTCTTAATGAGGCTGGTAATTTCCAGTTTACGATCTTAAGCAAAAGCACATGGCTGGAAGGTTAAATTAAGGCCCTGCGGGGATCCTCTCTCCACACACGGGATTTTCAGCCAGGGCCCAGAAACGTGGCCAGGCGTGGGGGCCAGCACGGCTCTTTCGTAAAGTGTCCCCTGAGCTCTTTAAAAACGCTCACCCAACAGCTCTGCCTGACACTAGAGGCACCGCCCAGCAGAGCTGTCCCGTAAATGACCGTGGCCATAAATTAGCCACCCCATGGCCCAAGGCTGGTGATTCAAGAAAGCCGGCGGGCTGAGAGGCCGGGTGGCGTCTGCTGCTGCTGGCCAGACCACGCCGGAGAACCCTGCGCAGACACGGCCCGCTGAAAACCGCAGTGGCACCAGCGTCCACTCCTGCACCTCCCCAGCCACTTGGATTCCTCCTCCCAGGGAAGTCCTGGCCCAGGATGGGGGTGGTGAGAGGCACATGGCGCTGGGACATGTGAGCCACCTCCCTGGGCATCAGGACACACGGGCTGCTTGCCCTGCGGAGCGGAGCAGGCCCAGTGCTGATGTGTCCGCCACCCCAGGGCAAGCAGAGGCTGAGTGGACGCTTCACTGGGACCCCGCCAAATCTAGGTAGCTCCATTGCCCCACCCACAGCAGGCACTCCCTCTCTTCCCAAGGCCAGAGGCTGCGGCAACGCTCGCCTCTCAGGAATGAACTCATGTGCCCGTGACCGAGACGGTCCCACGCCGCCCGCCTCTGCCCTCCCCTCCCGAGACGGTCCCACGCCGCCCGCCTCTGCCCTCCCCTCCCGAGACGGTCCCACGCCGCCCGCCTCTGCCCTCCCCTCCCGAGACGGTCCCATGCCGCCCGCCGCTGCCCTCCCCTCCCGAGACGGTCCCACGCCGCCTGTCGCTGCCCTCCTTCCCAGAGCTATTTGCAGGGAGCTGGAAGCGGCGACTTCAAACCCAGGGGCACCACATGTGCCCCGCCCACGACAGCATCTTGTGAGTCTCAGAGCCGGTCGCGGTCCCTTGGCCCAGGTGGGCCTGTGCGTGAGCTTTGATCGACACCTGTCCTGGGGCCTGGCATGGCACCCAGACCTGATGGGTGGAGAATAAAGGCGGGAATGGATGGGTGAATGGCACCACCCGAAGCCACACACATTGCAGGCGGCACCTTTGCGTGCACCGTCCAGTAAACGCCCTTCCCTGGACCCGCAGCCTCGCTGAGCATGTTCTTGGAAGATCTGAGGGCAGCCACCCGCAGCCGGGATGGGACACGGCAGCTTCTGAGGAGGCCGCACATGTGAATTCCCATCCACACACCACTGGCCGTGTGACGCTGAGACCCCTAAATCCCGTGAGCCTGTCTCCCCAGCTATAAGGCAGAGGTGACAAGACCTGAGAATGAAAATTGGCCTGAGTGACATGGCGGCAGGCGAGAGCCCACGCAGTCCCGGCTTCCTGAGGTGGCGCCCACAGCTCCCGGCTCTGGGGGCTCTGTCTGTAGCACAGGGAGCACCTGCAGGTGGGTGGGGGGGGGCCCTGGGGGCAAGAAGGGGCCCTGGGGATGGGCAGGCAGGGGGCAGGGGCAGGGGCAGGCCCAGCCCTTCAGCTTTAGACAAGTGGGGTCACTGCTACAGGTGGAATCGTGTCCGTTCAAGCTTGTGTTGAAGCCCTAACCCCCGTCCGGTTGGCTCTACTTGAAGATAGGGCTTTCGGGAAGCAGCTGGGGTTAAAGGA